CTCAGCGAGAAGGGGGAATACCAATATGTGTCTGGAGTGATGGGAATGGCCTACAACCCCTTCTTAGACTCGGAAGCTGGAGGCGCCCACAGGAACCATGAGGTAGCGGAGCTGCTGAAGTTTTGGACAGAAAGAATAATGGAAATAGACGCGGTGGAAAAAGAGGGGCGGAGCCTGGGCCTGATTCTTGAGGAAACACCAGAGGTGGTGAGCATACCGCGTTCAAACAAGAGAGTTGAAGTGAACATGGGCGATGGAGATGGCTTGTTAACCACGAACTTGGGAGTGGTATGGAAGCTATTAAGACCCTCCTGGTGTCCACATCCCCACGCGAGTCTGATCGAGGAAACCACCGAGCGAGTGAGGTTAGCACCAACGGAAGATGAAGATCTGGCAAAGTTGAGAGTGCTGCATAAGCTAATTTCACCTCAGATGCAAGAGCCAGGCGAAAAGACGAGTAATCCCGGGTCAGCAAAGAAATTGGAGCCGGGTAGCTGTCTGGATTCGACGTGTGGAAACGGAGAGCTTACCTGCGATGGACGGTCATGCGTTAGAATACTGTCATTTCAAAAAGAAGACCTGGTCACTTGGTTCGAAGACATAACAGAAAGGGAGAAAAGTGAAGTGCAAATAGTAGCGGAGTGTTACGCGAGAACCACGGTGAATATAGCGACAGCTCTCGGATTCTTCTCGAGAATGTGTAGTCTGCAGTCACTGGAAAGACTAGAATCTGAACATCATTTAGTTACGGCGTTGAGCGTAGAATCATGGCCCGGGGTGTTGCAGGTGACTCAAAAACACATCCGGAGCTGGAAGGTTGGTCTCGAGGCGGAAATGGGATTTCCCATGAGCGAAGCTTATGGCTTGCCATTGAACGCGAAATCGCTGATAGGGTCAATGATGGCCAACTTGTGCGGAAGTCACTACCCACTGCACATGGTGATGGTGGAAGCATCCAGCCAGAGAGTACTGGTGGACAAGGCCTTCTCAGTGCCCAAGTGCGTGAGGTTGGCTCGGATATCGCATCACTCGCACAAGTTGTTGAGAAAAATCAGAGGGACAGTACCAAAAGAATTGAGAGATGACTTGAGTGAAATCTGGGGAGAAGAACTTTTGAAGTTGGAGAGAGAGAACACAAGCGATCACGAGAGACAAAACGTGATCGGAAAACCTGTGGGAACTGCTCCAAACCTGGAAGATAACGACACGATACATGAGAAAATGATGGAGCTTGAGCCTCTCTTGGAAGCCTCGGGGGAGCGTACCCTCAGGAGCATTGAAATCACCCATGGAGAATGCCCATGCCACTGTTAAGCGCAAACGGTGTGGTATCCAGATCACAAGAACCTTTGCCTGGTGTGGGATACGGAAGAAATCCGGTCGATCGGACTACCGGATCACCGACAGAAGGTGACGATCTTGGTAGTGAGTACGATCTTGGCTCTGAGATGGATAGAAGAGAATATAACAAAGTATCGGGAAGCGGGGACGCCAACGGCAGAGTCAATATACGCGATAGACTACAGTAGGAGACTCGAGTTGTTTGAGACTGCGTGCAAGGTATTCGCCATACCAACGGAAGTCAGACATGTCTGGAGCCGTTTGAGGTACTTCCCATGGTTTCGGGCGACGCTGACGTCCTGGTTGTACATGACAACGAAAGATCACATGAGAAAACATCAAAAGGAGTATCGACAGTTCCAGGCCGAGATTGGGCCGGAAGCTTTCAAGGGACACCTGTTAACCCATCGTAATGCAATCACGACAGGATGGAAGAGAGTGGGTAAAATGTCTAGAGACAATACCAAGGCGAGGGAATCGATACTAGAGGAGGACCTGGTGAAGAACGTGAGCTTGAGCCTGCACAATTCCTTTTGTTTGAACCGGGAATCTAGGGTGAAGGCACTACCCAAACAAGCAAAGAGGTTGCAAGAGCAAAGACAATGGATGCGATCCTATGAGCAGCTGAAGGCTTGGGAGGAGATTGTGATTAGCTCCGATGATGAAGAGGAACTGTTGAGACAGTTTGCCGTATCTAGTACTTCAGGGTGCAGTACCTCCAAGGCGAAGAGTGCGAGATGAGCAGGTGGCTCGAATGGATCTTGAGTCTTGAGAGGGAAAGGGGGCTTGAGCGTGGATCCGGGTGAAACCTGGGTTCACGAAAAAGAAATTTTAACAAAACAAGATATTGTTATTAATATGCTATATCTATTATATAAACGAAAATGCTGCATGACAATTTCCTAATTGAATGGGACAAAAGAAATTTTAAATTGGCTTGAAAAGCGAGAATTCAAGGGTGCAGGTGTGTGCAGATTTTGATTGCTGTTTAGCGATAGTGTGAAAATTTTACATGGCTGTGAATTTTGGGGTGTAGATAAGCTTAAGTCTGCTGCAAACTTCTGTAAATGACCACTGGCACTGTATCTTGAGTAACACTCGGTTTTCTGGGACTTACTGGGAGAAGACAGCACGCGATGAGGACATCGATCTCGAGTCCGGGGAGTATGTGCCAGTCGGTCATATTTGGAAGTTTGACCTTGAGAGAAGCAAAAAGCACTTAATTTTGGAGTGAAATTTAATTTTTCAAAATTTCGAATGGAACCTATCATGCACGATTTTCTCGCGATAACTGAAAATCAAAAAAGAGAAGTCAGAACGATCGAGTGACAATCGCGGGAAAGTTGCTAGAAAAATCAGTGGGAAATTGCTATTCGCAATTTCAGTAGCAATAATAATCGAGAGTAGAGCTGTCCCATCTGAAACAGAGACGAGCGCATTTCCACGAACTGGATTGTTGTGACTGGAGTACTATTATTAACTGGACCAGAGTGAACCTTCGGTGGAAAGGTGGACAGCTGGAGTGTCCCAATGGTTCACGAGAACTTACAGTCTAGAGTAAAAACTTGTTCTTGTTATTGAAACTGACTAACATTAAACTCATTTTAGTTACTTTATTGATTCTTGAGTTGCTTACCGACTTATTTACTTCCTGGTTCTTGAGCGTGCTACAATGTGAGTACTAATTTAAATTTCTAGAGTGTGTTTTATAATTGTTATGTTGAGGTAAGGCGAGTTTTAGGTTGATCCATCTGAAATGGATCAAAGTTCCACTGTCTAATAAAAAGTAACTTAACGGATTGTTCCAACCCGGTTTTTAACGGCGTTCATGTATTTTGGGTATCTAGAGACCTAAGTATGGGGACGTTTCTAATTCTAGAGTGGGGGGATATTTTAGTAGTAGCCTTTAAGCTGTAACGGGTCGTAGTCTCATGTCACAAGCGAACCGAATTGGCTCCGACTGATTTGAGGTACAAAAACACAAGAGACAGTGTCCCTGACTCTTGAGCCAATGGTTATAGGGCCTATTTTTCTTAAGCCTCATGTGTGACTGCAGTAGACGAATGTTACATTAATTGATATCTAGATTCATTTTGATAAGGATGAGAAGCTAGGAGTTGGGGGAAAGGGTTGATCCATCTTCGATGGAGATGATGATTTTTATCTACTGAACAAAAACAATAGTAATATAATAAGTAGTAGCCCTGTTTTTAGGAGTAACCTCGTGGTCTGGGTATAGTGAGACCCAGCCATGAGCTCACTGTTTCTGCATGTAATCTAGTTAATTTGAGTGTTTTGACCGAAGCCGAAAGCAGTAACGTTTTTGTCGACCCGATGTTAGAAAGACCACCGAAAAGTACTGGCTTGGTAGAGACGGTGAAAAGTATGCAAAGCTCTGTTTAGACGTTAGCCAGTCGTCTTAAGACTTAGTTTTGTCTTCCGTCGATATGTATCTTCCGGGCGAATGTTACAAATCAAATGTAACTCAGTAAGTTTTCTAATGACGAGTCTTAATCAAGGGAAGTAAGTTTAAACTCAAGAATATAGTTTTGACTCTGGACCATTGGGAGACTTCACTTGTCCACCTTTCCGTTGAAGGTTCACACTGGTCCAGTTGATTTTAACTCCGCTCTCGTGTTCGTTTGGTCTCCTATATCAGATAGGACAGCTCTACTCTCGTTTTCTATGATGGAAATTGCGAATAGCGATTTCCCACTGTATATATTTGACGACTTTCCCGCAATTGTTAATTCGATTGTTCTCATTTTTCATTTTATGTTTTCAGTTGTCGCAAGAAAACTGAGCATGACAGGCTCCATTCGAAATTTTGAAAAATAAAACTTCACTCCAAAATCACGTATATTCGTGTCCCTCAAGGTCAAACTTCCAGATATGATATGACAGACTGGCACAAACAAGCACATCTTATACAATTTAAAAGTCCTGAAGGTCTTAAGCATTGTTTGCTTGAAAACTCCTAGTTGTTTTTCCTCATCTTGAGGGCGCGGGGTAAGTGTAAGAAAAAAAGGAAATATGACTGGAAACGAGGGGACTGATCTTTTACTCATAATAACAGGGCTGGAACTTATAGATTAAGAAAAAAAATTATAAATTTAATTTTAAAAAAATATGTAAAATCTAAAACTCGCTGAAAAGGAAGAATCTCAACCGAGCTCAGAAGGTCCAGCGGCGCACCACCAGACTCCTCAGGCCTGTAACTCCTTCCCCCAGACCAGTTGACAGACCTGTCTGTAAATTTCCTCAAAGGGCGCTCCACAAACAGGCACAAACATATCACATCTATTTAATAAGTTTATCACAATTAGGCTAATATATTGTTATTAATATATAAATATTTCGATTTTGTTATTTTGCGTCTCATGTTCTACTCGCTGGCTTGCAATGCTGAGCTTGCGTCGTTGTATTGCCTCAGTGTAATTACAATAAAGTTACACTTATCTAATTTATGAAATGCCAATGGTATTTCACTGAGTGAAACGTTTGCAGGACGAATGTAACAAATTTGGTTGACTTGAAAATTTCTGATCTGATTTATGTTAAGATGATAAAAAGTGTTGGGGGAGGTGTTTTCAATAATTTGACCAGATGTTTATAATGGGAAATGTTTGTTTTTGTTATGTGAATTTTAAAGTTTACAGGCTAAGGCATGGACGTTGTTATAGATCAATAATGCAGTCTGTTTTAAGCTCTGGTTCAAGTGTTGCGGGGAAGATCAATCTGTCCTTAAAGACTGTGGCGTTTATGTATTTCCTGTTCTCTGTGCTGTAAGCTTCAAACTTTCTTGGGACGTTTTTATTATGGGGAAGAGAATTGAAAACTCTGAATCTAATGTATCATGCTAGATGACGCGTCCGATTTTTTTTTACATTTTGTGTTTAGGACACAGATAGTAGACTGGCTTCCGCGCTCTTACGCCTTTATGGAGGCTTGGTGTTTGGCACTCTTCCTCTGGGCAATGGCTTGCAAGGAAAATCCCGAGCCAGTGTCTTTGGTTAGTGTTTTTTTAAAAAATCCTTCAAGTTTTGCTGTTTTTCTCATCAGCAAGTTAATAAATGTCATTTCGCAGTTGCTGGTGTCTTTGGTCACGGGTATCGTGTTCGATATCATCCACATGTGGCTCTCATTTGGATCATCCTATAAAACTTTAGTTGGTATGTATCTATCATACTTTAGGTAGCCAACATGTCGATTTTAATGCTATAAAAAATGAGAAATTGATTTGGCTAAATGTTAAGTAAGTTTTTGTAGATGTTAAATGTGTGGTATGGTTGTTGTGTTTATAAAAAAAGAAGTTCTTGTTATAGATTGATTAGCTTAGAAAGCAGCGCGAATTTGTAGATAGAGTTGATGTCTGTTGTTCTTCGTCACCCACATCGCATGGAAAATTTGCCTATCTCTGTTCACTTTATTTCGATAGCACTTTGCACCTTTGTGCTATTGGGTTGACTTTACAGCTAGTGAAACTGCTGTCAACACGACTATCCGGGAATATCGAAAAACTCCTCAGCGTCACAGTGATAGATAGCCACTTGAAATGTAAGTTATTTTACTGAGTTTTGCATCAGACCGTGTTTTAGTGCAACGGCAGCCTTTTTTTTTCAATTTTAGTTACAATGCTTGCTCATGTTGGATTATATGACGCATGATATATTATCCCTTTCTCTACAACTTTCCCTGATTTGTTGCAAAATTTTGCATGTTTTTTTCCTCTCCTCATTTGTATGGGAGGGTTTTTAACGATTGTAACCCTTGCGATAGCTAGGGTATTGCAATTGGGTACTAGACTTTTTTTCCGAAAACAACTTTTTCCAGAGTCCATTGGCTCATAATGAATTCAAATTTTGTAGTGTTTGTTGTACAGTTAGCCTAGTGGTAGCGAATACGCCTGGGACGGCAAAGGTCCTGGGTTCAAATTTGACCAGGACCAGTTTTTTTCAAACGGTAAATGTTCCGGTTCAAAAAATTTTCCGGTTCAAATAAAAAGGTTATTTTTATTTGTTCTGTCGGCCTGTTATTTCGGCCTGCTTATGTTTTGTCGACTTGGTTGCCGCATCTAACAATCGCTAAGAGTAAGACTTATATATTTCTTGCTGATTCTTTTTTTTTTCAGGAAAAAGTCTTAAAATTTGTCACGCTCAATTTTGATTTTTCACGGTTTGACTTGTGATTTATTTTCAAGTTCAGTGCATGTCCATTGTTAAAAAGAAGGTAAGCTCCACTATCGAATAGCAAAAGTGTGAAAGTCACGAAAAACTTCATCGCTCTCTGATTTCGAAAATGGAAATTAATTATCAGATTTCCCAGCGAAATAAAAGTTTTACGTATTGATCCAGTTTTCTCAAATTTGGTTAATTTCAAAAAAGCGCCAATCGTAAATCGGTCAAGAAATTCAAAGAGCTTAAAGGGCATCTATTTTTTTCGTTAAAAATCAAAAGTTTCGATTTTTCAGCAATTTTCGCTACAGTTTAAAAATCCGGCCGAATCGAAATTTGCTTTTCACAGTGGTTACAATTTTACCAGATCGATTTGTTAAAATTTCACTTTTTTAAAATTATTTTTCGTCTGTTTTTATCGGCTTGATAAATTTGGGCCTATTTGATATTGACTTAGTGGCCTCTTGGTTAAGAATTTTTTGGTTTTCTTTTCGACATGAAGGGTTTCTGCTCAGGTTTTTTTCGGCTTTGTTACCGCTTGATAATTATAAATTCAAATCCAATCAAAAATCTGGTGCATCTGGCATAGAGGTAAAACAACTGCTTGAGACGGCAAAGATTTGCGGTGCGAATGCGGGTGGGCCCTTTTTTGCTGCAAAGTTTTTGTGCTGTTTCGGGCTTTCGTCCGTCTGTTGATTTTTGTCGGCTCAGTTGACGTGGCTCGATAGTTAAGCTTTATTCCAAGTTGCTGTAACCCCCATGCTCGAGACGACAAAGCGCGGGAGCTTGATTCCAGTTGAGACCTTTGTTTCTTGCATAGAAACAGAAAGTTTTGGCTAATTTAGATTATTGTCTGCCTGCTGATTTTTCTCTGCTTAGTTCCGCAGAAAGGACTTTTTTTGAAAACTTGGATTCTGTATAGCATTCCCAAAGCTCTTTGTAGAATTTCTAAAGGTGCATGCATTTTTGCTCCGGATATTTTGGGCTTTTGTTGCAATTATCATTGACAAAAACGAGTTTCTGAATTTTTTTCCGTTTGATTTTCATAGTCATTCATATTTGTATCGCAAGTGGTGCGAAGCTCATCTTCGCCTCTTTGTACAATTCTGTCGCTTTTCAGAAAGCGGTTGCGTGTCGTCGGGTCTTTTCTATTTCTCGGTGACAATGGCTGTCGTAGCGATGCTGCTCAAGCCAGTCTACATGCTGTTTCTCAGCTCTGAGTATGGGAAGCGGGGAGGAGATGTGTCCACTCTGTTCAAGGCGCCAACAGGCAAGTGAAAGTTCTAACGGGATTATGCAGTTAATGTACATGTAGCACAATGTTCCAACCATAGACATCTTTGCTAAAAGTATATATGGAATGTTACTTTTCAGGAGGCATAGGAAATATGATGCCCCAGGGTGGACAGGCATACCAGAATCTAGACGGACATGATGATAGAGCTAGCATGCTGGGCGCAGGTGTCAAAGACCCCAACAGCGCATTTGCTGGATCGCAAGGTTTTCAGGGACAGCAGCCACAGATGGGAATGGGTGGGGGTTACGGATATTAATTCCTAAGATTTGAGAACTGGTCAACTGACTACATGCTGAAAGACTAGTCCAAAGATCGAAAGACAATTTATACTGAAAATGGGCGTGGGTAAAGATAACTAACAATTCAGTACTGTGCATGCTTGACGAGTTATAGGGTGGGTGATGATGATTCCAGCTTAGATGTAGATTCCAACAAGACGTATTTTTTGTGCATTATATTATACTGGGATCCAAATCGTTTATAGATTGGTTGCTTGGCTAATGATTACCTTGAACTGACCATAAATTGGCTTTGAACGGAATATAGCTCGTATTTATCCCCAATATTGGGTATAATTTGAACGTATGCCCGTTTTTAAACCACTTGGTTACTTAATTTTATTCGGAGAAATAAAGAAGATTATTGTTCGCCTCAATCGCAGCATAATCGCTAGAATGAAGTAAGATGGACATGCCAAAGGTTTGCTCATCAACTTTCAGACAAGAAAGAAAAAAAGATTGGTTCAGTTCAACTTCTTTATTTTATCAGTGCTAATAGTTCTGAGTCTCCTTGAAATATTATAATATGGCAGCTTATATAGTTTGTTTCATGCCCAAAAGCTGACAGTATCACAGATTCTAGTAATATCGACCTCACAACTTTTTTCTGTAAACGTCAATGCTCGAAATTTATTTATGATGCATTAAGTCTTTCGTATATTTATACTAGTCTGTAAAGTTTTGAATAATCAACTATTTAACAAATATAAATTAACTATATTTGACTATTATTTCAATTGAAATTCAAATACAAGTTTTATAAAATATCGGTTTTGACTTATTAGTCTTCTCTTAATATGTGAAATGGGATACGGTAAATTGTACCAGTGCGAGTTTTCCTTAGCGAGCTTAATTTTCTCTAGAAGAAGTTCTTAAAATATTGATCGTTATGACGCCTATGGGAGTATGCGGAAGCCAGGGTGTTGATTCCTTCATTAATTCGTCTGGTACGGTCTGCGTTCCACGCCTGTTGGGAATGCACCACTTTTTTAAAGTGGGAAGAAGGCGCACTCATGCATCGCTCGTTCCCTCCAATCGACCCAAAATTACTCGGCCGCATCCGGGATGCAGGTTGTCTTGAGAAGTGACTTAAAGGCTCTTGTAAACTTGAAACATTAATGCCATGCTCTCTGAACAATACCTGTGTATCTTCTCGGATTTCCCGACTATGGTCAATCTGACGTTCTAATTTATTCAAAAGCCGATCTATTCGCTCCTTTTCAGGGGTTATATTTTTAGTCTGAGCTGTCAATTTGGAGGCAGAAGCTTGGTTGTATCGGCGTGGAGCAGGCAAAGACATTACTGCAGAAATTGTGGAATTGATTTTTATTCCCTTTCGGGGTCAAAGACTTCTCTTCATTTTAATTCATCGTTGCTGTATGAAATAAAACAATACAGTAATACGTTATATTGTAAAGGGGAATTTGTAAATTTGATAGTGGTGTAGTACACGAAATTCTTCTAACCACTACTGAACAGTGAGTTTATTCGACTCAACGCGTGTTTTAATGAAAAAAGAAACGTGAATGTATATAACAAACTACGGCATGTTTTGGCATCACCGGTAAAATGAGACAGTACAGAAAAGGCTGTACAATTGTAGAGCGAGTACTCATTTACTATGGTAAGATGTGTAAGAACCTTCTTATTATTTATGAGAAGAACGCTGCGGGATTAATAGAGGGAAAATATTCGTATCTGATACTTACTTTGTAGCTTAACACGAACGCTAAATATCCAAGAAAGCGTCGCTTTGGACCTCCTCGCAATTCTTTACATAGCCTGTACCCCAATATAATCATCCCCAATTCCATGCTTAATATGCGAAGTGATGTGGCGATAAATTTAAGCTTATTTTTATCGCGGGGGTGGAGCGACTGAAGAACAAATTAGAGCGGGCCCTGAAGTCAAATGGTTACTTGGCCACATTGTTTTAAAATGAGTGTGTATGCAGCGTTTGGCAGGAAGGGTAGATAATGATAAGACAATGCTATAATTTGCTTCATTTGGATCTTGTGCTTTTATTTCCGTCATTTCTTCTAAAAGACCTTTTTTCAGTCAATACCGCGTCCTAAATTGAACTCTGCGCGCATGTTAATTGAAGAAATTACGTTTGCTGCATGATATTTTCTGGACTCTTCTACAGGTTTTTCTGAACTTATTAAGAGTAATGAACGTAGTGAAGACTCTCAAATAGGTCTCGGTGATTTTTTTTTGTTTTTTTTTCATGAAAAAGTCTTGAAATGCTCTAATAACTACAGACGTGCATTCATATATATTAATGCATTTGCATATATGAATGCACTTAAGTATATATTCACTTTTTGATTTCAATTGGGCTCTTTTTTCTTATAGAGTAATTTTTCTGTTCACATCGTCGGATTGTAATAAAATTTGGCATGCGGACTGATAAGGCCATGACAAACATATTTAATCTTCATATTCAACCTTGCAAAACCACTCGTTACCATGAAATCGATGCTCATGTGAGGTAGGGTGGGGGGAAGAAAAAGAGCCTCAATGGAAATTCATTTGCGGAAGCTTACGTAAACAGCATCTATTTTTTTCGTTAAAAATCAAAAGTTTCGATTTTTCAAAGTCAGTGTGTTTTTTATGTTAACTTTCATTACTCTTTTTCAATCTTCGATTGGCTATGTTTTAAGCTTAAAACAATTTTCGCAGTTTAAAAATCCGACCGAATCGAAATTTGCTTTTCACAGTGGTTACAATTTTACCAGATCGATTTGTTAAATTTGATAGTGGTGTAGTACACGAAATTCTTCTAACCACTACTGAACAGTGAGTTTATTCGACTCAACGCGTGTTTTAATGAAAAAAGAAACGTGAATGTATATAACAAACTACGGCATGTTTTGGCATCACCGGTAAAATGAGACAGTACAGAAAAGGCTGTACAATTGTAGAGCGAGTACTCATTTACTATGGTAAGATGTGTAAGAACCTTCTTATTATTTATGAGAAGAACGCTGCGGGATTAATAGAGGGAAAATATTCGTATCTGATACTTACTTTGTAGCTTAACACGAACGCTAAATATCCAAGAAAGCGTCGCTTTGGACCTCCTCGCAATTCTTTACATAGCCTGTACCCCAATATAATCATCCCCAATTCCATGCTTAATATGCGAAGTGATGTGGCGATAAATTTAAGCTTATTTTTATCGCGGGGGTGGAGCGACTGAAGAACAAATTAGAGCGGGCCCTGAAGTCAAATGGTTACTTGGCCACATTGTTTTAAAATGAGTGTGTATGCAGCGTTTGGCAGGAAGGGTAGATAATGATAAGACAATGCTATAATTTGCTTCATTTGGATCTTGTGCTTTTATTTCCGTCATTTCTTCTAAAAGACCTTTTTTCAGTCAATACCGCGTCCTAAATTGAACTCTGCGCGCATGTTAATTGAAGAAATTACGTTTGCTGCATGATATTTTCTGGACTCTTCTACAGGTTTTTCTGAACTTATTAAGAGTAATGAACGTAGTGAAGACTCTCAAATAGGTCTCGGTGATTTTTTTTTGTTTTTTTTTTCATGAAAAAGTCTTGAAATGCTCTAATAACTACAGACGTGCATTCATATATATTAATGCATTTGCATATATGAATGCACTTAAGTATATATTCACTTTTTGATTTCAATTGGGCTCTTTTTTCTTATAGAGTAATTTTTCTGTTCACATCGTCGGATTGTAATAAAATTTGGCATGCGGACTGATAAGGCCATGACAAACATATTTAATCTTCATATTCAACCTTGCAAAACCACTCGTTACCATGAAATCGATGCTCATGTGAGGTAGGGTGGGGGGAAGAAAAAGAGCCTCAATGGAAATTCATTTGCGGAAGCTTACGTAAACAGCACTCTCCAAATACGAACGTGGAAATGGAGCGAAAAAAACGCGAACAATTTCTAGATTCGAAACTGGAATTTATTTTTTTAGATTTCCAGCGGAATGAAACTTTACCCATTGATCCAGTTTTCTCAAGTTGGGTTAATCTTATAAAAAAACCGCCTATCTTAAATTGTTCTAGAAATTCATAGAGCTTAAATGGCATCTATTTTTTTTCTATAAAAATGCGAAAGTTGAGATTTTTTCAACAAAGCCAGTGTTTTTTTCTGTTTGCTTGCGTTCATTACTCTTTTCCAACTGTCTGTTGGCTATGTTTTTTTTGCACTCGCTCTACTGTTTTTTCTGCCGACAAGTTTCGTTATTTTGACTAGCTGATTTAACAGATTTTTCATACCATTGAAACATTAGTTTTCTGAGCTAAAATAGAAAAGGTACTAGCAATCATTTGAAGTTGTGGATTTGAAAGGTTGCCAATATGAGATAATTTTCGATATATTTTTGAAAATTTATTTTTGTCAACATCTATTGTGGGCTCTGAAAATTAGCGAAGATATGGTTTTCTCAAGCGTTATCTGTGATTGATGCTACTCTTTGCGAAGTGCAACTTCACCTCGGCGTTTAATTTTAGCTTGAAAATATTCATCAGGTCAAATGGATTCAGGTTAACGAACTGTTATCAGTTGATGTCTGCCTGCAAGCAATGTGGGTTGTTAGCCATCGAGAATAGTAAAGGTATTACAGTTGGAATTTTAGTTACGTGAGTTGTCGTCGATTTTTTTGCTACGAGTTGAGAACTTTCAGTGAAATTTAAAATTTATCTACTTATCTATACATTTAACTGGCTTTTCACATGACACATTCTTAAGAAGTCTCTGTTGAAATTTGATCTTGAATTGAATTTAAAAACACTGCGGCGGACCTGTGTAAGAGTTCTCCCAGAGGCTGCAAATTTGGTCACAAATAGCGATGGCTCAAATCCTTTTAGCCTACGACATATGTAAATTTGATATTTCGCGGTTTGACTTGATTTTAAAGTCCAGTTCATTTCCTTTGTTTAAAGGAAGGCAAACTCCCCTATCGAACAGCAAAAGCGTAAAGGTCACGGAAAAAGGTGATCGACTTTTAGTTTCGAAAGTGGGTTTTAAATTTCAGATTTCTAAGCGCAATAAAAACTAACCTATTTGTCCAGTTTTCTCAAACTGGGTCAATTTTATCTAAATTGTTCTTGAAATTCAAAGATCTCATAGTCTATATATTGTTTGCTTGGAAATTATTAAGTTGCTGTTTTAAGAGAAAAACTAGTCAGTTTTTGTTTCCTTGCTTTTTTCCAACTGTCAGTTGGCCGTGTTTTAGCGAAAGCGAGGAATATCCGACCTGACTTTCAATTGTTCTGGTACTGATTATAGGTTGACCACAAAAAACGACCTGTTGTTAAACTTGGAAGAGCAAGAGCCTGGTAATTGGTTAAGAGACTTTTTTATTCGACAACTTTTCTGACAAATGTTTGAGAAAATGACCTTGCTCTGTTATTGCGCTTGCGATTAGCAAGCTTTGTCAAATCGGAATATAGACTATTTCAAGTTATAAACTGTCAGTAAAGTATTATTAAATCACTGAACAGCACGTGCACGCCATTCACGTGCTTACATGCTCAAATTTTTCAAAATTTTATTCAAACTATTGAACTACTGCTATTACAAATATTTTTAGTTATATTAGTACTCGATATTGAATTTTTTTTTTGGAAAAAATCAATTATCGGTCCATCATGTGTCTGCTTTATCGGCTTAGTTTTTATCGGCTTAGTTTTGGATTCTGCGTTTAATTCAGCTTATTCAGATTTGAGTTGTTCTTACTAAAATTGTAATTAGTATTGATTTTTACTTGTGAT